TTTATCCCATTTTGGGCTATAAAATGGCACCCAAATCCTCTCATTTGACACACAATTCTTCAACATTTCAATACTCCTTCATTGCATAAGCATTCCTATTTTTCTTAGCTATTTGAGAGCCAATTCTTGAAGAAATTGTCGTGTTCTTGAGCGTTTACTAGTTCACTCATATCTACTCTTTGTGAGAGTTTTATTCCTGAGTGTTTAAGTGTTTTCATACACTTTAAGGGACTCTGTTCCCTTGTTATAAACTCGAAGGAAGTTCCTTGTTCCTTCGTGAGAAGTCTTGGAGTGTGGTATCTCCGAGCAAAGGTGTTGAGGCTCGTGTGACTCGGGTTCTCAAGTTGTATCGGTTTGTTAAGCACCCTTAAGCTTAACGGAGTTAGTGTAGCTCGAGAGAGTCTCTCGGGGGGGCTGGATTAGCCACACGTTGTGGTGAACCAGGATAAAATCCGGTGTGCTCCTTCCTTACGCTCTTTACTTTAACGCTCTCGTTTTAATTTCCTGCGATTTTGTTTTAAACGCTATTCACCCCCCCTCTAGCGTTGGGCCTTTATTCTAACATTAGGTTCACTATGGACTTACATATTACCAGAATAAGTATTTCTTTACTACTCCCTCCGTCCCACTTAGATTACAATATTTCCTTTTTGTTGAAATTAAGGAAGAGTCAAATCAAATTTTTTTTTCCCCCCAAATTACCCCCCAAATCCCCCAAGTATTCTTCCCACTCACATGGATGAATAGTGTGCGAATAGTGTAGGAGTGCGATGTTAAAAGAGTTAATTCCTTGTAAAGTTATTGACTTTGTAATTCTTTTTGGGACAAAAATGTGAGGGAATATTGTAATCTATTTCGGGACGGAGAGAGTATTTAAATAAACATTTGTGTTTTTAAATAAAAAAAATAAAAAAGACTTTTTTATGTGAAAAGGTTCACAAAATTTATATGCATCTAAGATGCACTAAAGAAGCATTCTATGTTCTGGCTTTGTTCTATTTCGTTCCTATTTTGTATTTCCTCTCCCAAAAAAATTCACAATTTGATTTTTAGGTCAAACTGTGCAATATTTTGAATATAAATGAGGGAAAAAGCATATTTAATTATAATGTAAAATTAGGTTCATTTAAAAATATCACAATTTGACAATAAAAGTCAAACAATGATAATCTTTTGTAGACGAAAAAAGTACGGAATATGATTTTTTATTTAATTGAATGCATTATATTATTTTTCTAAAAACATAGCATTAATATATATTTTTGAATACATGTGTTAAGTGTGAGATATAATTGAGATTTGAGAGAATATAATAACTAAAAATTGAATTAGGGTATAAATTGATGTGCACCCTAATATATAGGCTCTCATTCTTTGGTTAAAAAATTACTAAAATAATCTATTGTATTTTTAATGGTTAGAAATATAGAGAAATTTTTAAAACAAAAATTTCCTTCAACATACGAAACAAAAAATGCAGTCTAAAATAATTGTTGTCAAACTAATTCATTATGATAAATTGTAATCGTTATACACTTAACTTTTTAATATGGAGTATTTATAATCGTTTGAATAGAATTAAAACGCTCTATATATAAAATTTAATAGTTAAACTAAGTTAAGTGATACAGAGTATACTTTTAAAATTTTACTATCCCATTTTAGATTATTTTTTTAATTTTAATTGTTTGAAAGGTTATTTGAATAATAAAAAATACTCCATCCGTCCCAAAAAGTTTGTTACGTTTAGAAAAAACTGCGTCCCGTAAAGTCCGTTACATTTCTATTAAAAAACCACTTTTACCCCTTACTTTTTCATACCCTACCTATCACATCATATTTTTTTCTAATAATCTACCCATCACATCCTACTTTTACCAATCACATCAAGGGTATTTTTGGAAAGTCAATATCAAAATATCCCTCCCTTAATTATCCAAAAAGTCAAACCGTCCCATTCTTTTTGGGATGGAGGGAGTATTACTTTGGAATATTTTTAACATTTTTTGTCATTTTACATTGCCTGTAAAAGAAATCCGAAGATATAGCCCCCAGACCCTATAATACAATGCCCCCAGTCACCTATAATCCT